GACTTCCGGAAAAGAACTAGAACGCCATGTGAGAGCTTGTTTATTAGTGCAGCTAATTTTAAGAGTACTAGTGACGTTTCTATACGTTCTACAGTTTCGGAAGAGTACCGTCGACACGAGGAGGAAGGGAAGGCGGTAGATAGCGGTCAATCAAGTGTCAAATTCCCTTACTTCACTTTAACACACATAGAAGGTTAGATAGGCCGCGCTTGAAAGGGTACTGTACTCGAAAGGGCTATTGCTTCGTAGCCGATTTCCTTTGTACGATTTTCTTCTTCAATTCTTCAATCTTCAAAATTTCGATTTTCTTCGAGTAAAAAAAATAGATGTAGTGATGAAATTATTCGCAGCAAAAAAGGTAACCCGTCTCGCCTCTGACATCGGCTCACACAATCCACTTTATGTGGGCGGCGGTGTGTTCCAATACTGGCTCATGATCGAGTGGTAAATAAAAATCGAAAGGTCCACACGTGCACCTGCGCAAGAAAGGTATCCCGAAACCAAGATGATTAATAGTATTGGACACCTATCCCTTTCTAAGGTTAACATCAAAATGTCACGTAATATCAACTCGTTGAATAATAAAAACTCACTCCAGCAGCGTTAGTCGTCTGCATGGTCATTTTCTGTATCCGTACGCCACAATTAAACACTAGTCCATTTGGCAATGATAAATCGTCTTCGTAACGAATATGAACATTATTAAGTATTAACTAAATATGAAAAAATCATCTCATAGGTTGTGATGTTCTTTTAGGTACAACCGAAAAACGTGGAAATAGCGATATCTACCTGAATATTATTGAGTACCGTCGATAACAAGGATGCACCCCACCAAGTATCCTGAGAAGCTGGGACCGAGATCCCAAGGTAAGACAACAGCTCCGTCTAAAGGTGGAAAACGACAAGTGAATGAATTCCAGTACCCGAGAGGCCTTTCAAATAAGTACCTTATGCCGTTGCTCCAGCTCATCTAACATTTGTTCCTTTTTCTGTTGTTCCACTCGCTCCACAGCCTCGACATCATATCGACGATCAGGTGTTGGTGGACCAACGATGACAAGTACATCACTAAGCTAAATTGCAAACATATTGAAATTCAAACAAACAACGCAATTGTTCAAACTTCTCAGGCTTGCTCCAATAGAACCACAGCGAAACAAAAAAAAGATTACGCAGTGAAATCAAGGCACCTTCAAAGCCCATGGTTCACTCCTTAGATGGGTTATTGGAACCGATAAGGTGAGTTTGCCAAGAAGGCCAGATTTCACTTCAAGAGGTAAGTCGAGCTTTCTCAATGCACTCTTCTTTAATGGCACGTTTTCCAATTCCACTTGCCCTGAAAAATTTTAGTAGAATATTATTATAAGGTTAATGTAATAAAGCTTAGTTGAAAAAAGTATCCACGTAGGTATCTTAGCAAAACAGAGTAGGTTTCACCTGACAAGAGCGCAACAGAAAGTTGGTCGGTGTTGAGATTCTCCAGATATTCTCCAACGTAATTGTTAAGTACCCAAGCAACAATATTCTCGAGCATCTTGAGCTTATCGGCGTGTGAATCTCATTAACTGGAAATCATCCAACTAATACGCGGAAACAGGATCAAAGAACTTTAATCATATGAGCGACTGATCTTGCTTCCATTGCTTAGCATTGAAGAAAACTTAGAAAACCTACCTAGTCTTACAAAACAAAAACAATTCTTGCGAACATAACACTAATTGCCTATATCAGCCCATATGTTGACATGTCGGGAAGCACTGTTTGCACGGCGTCACGTGATTTCAACGGAATTCATAGCGTAGCCCCATGGACGTAATACCCCAAAAAATTCAAGAAACGAAATTTTGAAGCAGTAGAGGATGAGGAAATCGGAAAAACTTGTAATTCTGGAATTTTCCGCAGACATTACATAAAAACAAACAAATGAGAGCAAAATTAGAAATGACGTTGCTCGGAATCCAAAAACGGAAGAGGTATGTCAGTCGTACTGAACATACAGCACATGAGCTGTATAGGTAGTAATGTCAATGATACTGTTAGATAAAATTAACCGCCTTCCTTCATCTCTAGAAAAATAACGTAGAACCTCATACGAATGTAGGCAAGTCCTTTCAACGTTTAAAAGATCAATCAGTTCCCAAAAGGAGAAAAGAATAGACCCTTCCCCCTCCCATGAAATTGTATTTTAAGCTGAGAAGGGAGACTGAGTGCTTCAGAAGGAAAGGGTTCATGATAATTTCTCTTTCTATTCACAAATTAAAAAATCACACAAACATTAATAAATGAAGATTAGCTTGTTTACTGCAATCATATACCTGTCGTTACAACATGCTTTTATGTGACGATAACAAACCTACTCATAAGTATCTGGATCCTTGCAACAATTGCATGGCAATCGATGATTTTGTTGCGATTAGCCGTGTGCAAAATCGGCTGCAACACACGATATACGACACTTATAATGTGGAGAAGGGGACTCGAGATAACTCATTAGAGCGTAGGTACAACGAATAAAACAAAAACATCAAAAACCACACACTAGTTTTATCTGATATTTACAATACACTAACGAAAATAAGTCTACTCTCCCAACAAAGACCACTGGATGCGCCTTGCCACATCGCGGCAGCCGTGTCTGAAAATTGGAACATTTTGATTGAATACGCAGATATAGCTGCGCGTGGCGAATGCGCTGGCCACTCACTCCTAAAAGGTCCACCTACCGAACGAATTATTGCGGATAATGTCCGTGTTGTTCGTACTGATCTCGAAGACGCAAGGCGTGCCATCTACCGTAATCAACCCAGGCAGTCGACACCGGTTGATAACTCCAGGCTTTATAATCCCAACGCTCTCCTTCCAAATGTTTCACACGCTGCTCAATTTGCCTGAAATCGTATACATGACTTCCACCCACTAACTAAAAAGGTATACCATATGGTGAAATGGTGAAAGTCCAATTCATGGGGAAGGGCACTCCTGCTATCTTATCCTTATCTCACACAAAATCTTATCCTTAGTCCTAGAGAGCACTCCTTCGGGCTCTCTACACTAGGGATAAGATTATATGTGAACACTCATTTCGAGCGTACTTTTGATAAGGACCGGTGGATGTCCTACATTCCACACATCCTGCCCACATCCTATCCAATTTCCTGCACAAGGTCATCCATCCTGGAGCCCCTCTCATAAGTCGGGGCAAAGATCTATATTTTAATAATTCAGGAGTTTCCCTGGGCCAACTATGGAACAGATCCAGGAAAATCGAGCAAGCGGAGCGAATGCTGGCTGATTTCGACTGCGCCTGTGGTAAGGTCGGTCTGCAGCTGAACCTAACGAAGACGATGTTTATGAGAAACGGATTGGTTCCTGATGCCCCATTCACGCTCAACGGAACGAACATCACCGAATGCTCCAGCTACGTGTACCTAGGTCGGGAAATCAATATGATGAACGATCTAGCTCCAGAGCTGAGCAGGAGGAAACGAGCGGCTTGGGGAGCGTACAAGAACATCGAGGGAGTAGTGAAGAAGACGAAGAACATCCGGCTCCGTGCCCACCTCTTCGATTCCGCTGTCCTTCCTGCCCTAACCTACGCCTCAGAGACTTGGACTCTGCGCAGGCAGGACGAGCATGCGGTCAGCGTTATCCAACGCGCTGTCGAGAGGACGATGCTAGGAGTAACCCTATACACGCAAGTGCAGAGGGGAATCCGGAGTGCCGAACTACGCCAACGATCGAAGATCAGGGACGCTGCCGTTTTCGCCAAGGAATCGAAGATAAGGTGGGCCGGACACGTCATGCGATTTTGCGATGACCGTTGGACCAGAGCGGTTACCGACTGGATCCCTCGGGACGTCAAACGAACACCTGGACGACCGCCGGCTTCGTGTCCCTCGAGCGAGGAGGATCCACTGGACCACTCTAGCACGCGACAGGGACGAATGGAGACGTTGCTGGCGCCCTGCTCGAGCAAATCGACGATCAACGGGGCGACAGGTGATAGAGGTGATCCAAGAAATGGAGATCTCAGGAATTTGCAATTTTTCAATCAAAACCATTACCTCAATGGAGGAAAGTTTGATTTCTCAAATAGGGACAACAGATATTATTGAGCAACGAGAACCAAATAGCCGAATGTGCGTCACAACAGATATTATTGAGCCACGAGAACCAAATAGCCGAATGTTGCGTCTATGTCGAGAATACCAAGAGAAGTCATGTAGCAGAATGGGATGCGGCCTGAGTGGAGATGCTCAAAAACTACGCCATAACTACGCCATTACCTTGAGTCACTATCCAACGTCAAATGAAGTAAAAAGAATGATGTCTATAGTAAATCAAAAAAAAAAAACACTATTTCTAAGAAGAGAAAGAGAGTAAAAAAAGTAAAAAAAATGTCTCTAAAGTGAAACCAGGAGAATTCTGTACAGAAATTCACGCTCGACCTCCATCTAGCTTGTATTCCAATCTTTTCATAATAGGCGAGGTTCCTTTCGTGATGTTCGATGTCCGACACCCCAAAGTGTTTCGCCCACCACTGACGAATAGGTGTTCTCTCAAACTGCCAATGATGTGGAGGCTCGCCCTGAAAAAAAAAAAGAAATTACCCGATAAGTTTCATGGTTAGTGTACGTAATTTCCCGTTTTGTCCACTGAGGGAGAATTCGGCAAAAAACCGAAGGTCTCCATACTATACTTGTTAATTTGATGAATTTGTCCGTAAATTTTTTAGGTATACAAATGCAGGAAAAGCTCTGACGCACTCACAAAAGACCTTTATGTTGCAAAATCTGATCAGTTTTTGGTGGATACCGTCATGAAAACGACAGGACGCATCAAACCGCATGAATATGTTCGTCAATGTCGTTTCTAGCTCCAAAATCATAAGAGGTTCAATACCTTTGTTCGATTCCTATTTGGGAACATGTGCTACCGAAAAGACAGGCACTACTAACACTTCTGAAGGGTTGGAAAATATTTTGCGTCTTGAGACGATTAGTTCGATCCGAATATATTACATAGAGTATGACGTCTGTATTACTCGCGGAGAAATAGAAAAAAAGGTTGCAATCCTCTCAAACCCCGCTTTTGCGCAGCTTGCATCAAGCTTCGCGGCATAATTGACGCCGAGTTAGCCGCCTACGCTACTGCTACCTTTGCCACAGTCGCCCGCGTGATCGTGTTAAAGAATACCGTGCGAAAAATGATAAATAAACGAAGCCCACGTTAAAAATGACTGGTATATGTTTTGTACTATATAGTTGATGTATTTCAACTACATCACATTGCGCTGTTCGTAAAGCTTCCGCTAAGTTCGGCAGCTCCAAGCCACCCTAGGAAATAAAATTCGCAGAACTTGCCCTTGGAGGGAAACATGAATATCACATTCGTTTGTCGAGAACCTATTTATAGCTTGTACAATAGGTGTCGGCACCACACGATTGTGGTAGCTCCGGCGCCTGTCGCGGAAGCTAGGCGTTTTTGCACCAAATGGATGAGACATTTGTATTCTGTGAGTCAAACTACCACGGGTGTGGTTCACTAGGACAGAAAGCGACTTTTTCGCGTTTCGCAGCGCGAAACATTTTTCGCTGCGGGAACCTCGGGTCCACTGATTTTTCGCTGCGGGAACCTCGGGTCCACTGATGATCAGCGGTGGACCTGAGGTTCCCGCAGCGAAAAATGTTTCGCGCTGCGAAACGCGAAAAATTCGCTTTCTGTCCTAGTGAACCACACCCAACTACCACTATGGGCAGCTTTTCAGTCCAACTTTTTAGCCGAATCGCTCTCCGTTTATAAATTTCGAAGAAAATCTAGCCCAGTTCCCGACGAGTGGAGTAGTGAGGGTAAATATCGCCAAAAATGCTATTACTTCATGAAACAAAAATGCTCTTCCTTGTTTCGAAATAGACCAATGTAGTGTCTGTAAAACTGCTCACTCAAACTGGACGCTTCCACTGAGAATTGAAAAGCATTCAGTCTTGAACCCCACACAGCTTTTTGAACTGCGAATTCAAAAAAAGCTGCTACGGGAACGGAGTGCAAGATTTATCTCAACAAAATCCTTAACGGTCGTGGACCATTGCGAAGTTATAGGAAATGCTGGTCAGAGCTGGATGCATTTTAGCAACAAGTGGAGATCACCTAGCGCCGACGACGTCTGCAGACGGTGAGGGCGATGATCGAGGGACTTCTTTCTGCTAACAGAGCGACATCTATGAGATGTCGGTCAGACTCGGCGATTGCATCGCGATGGACCAGTGCTCTGGGCGACGCGATGCGAATGGGACCAGTGTGGAGCGACGCGATATGCTCTGCGATTGCATCGCGCTGTGCAGTCGCTCTTGCAATGTGCACAAGCGACGGGCGATTGGCATCGCTCCAAAGTGCGAGCGACGGGAGATTTACCCGCCGACGACCGATACACACGGCGCCGCTCGGGTAAATCTCCGTCGCTCGCACTTTGGAGCCTCGTCGCTTGGACATTGCAGAGCGACTGCATCGCGGTGGACAAGCGATGGAGCGATCGCGTCGCTCCAGCACTGGTCCATCGCGATGCAATCGCCGAGTCTGACCGACATCTGAAGTATTCTGCCGAAAAGCTTTCACCATTCAGCTTCGCACATTTTTCGCAGCAACGCGAAAAAGTGAGTGTGAAAGTCTCGGCAAAAATACTCTTTAGATAAGTCGCTTTTTTGTCTCCCAGCCCATGTACACAGAATTATCGGATTTTATTAAGTTGACTCATTAGGTGAAAAACATAAGAAAGCGATTGGACTTTCGCCCACTCGATAGAACTCTTAAGCACTATTACTTTTTCTGCACTATTGAAATCGTTTCAGCCAGGTTTTTTCAGCAAGCACCAAGGGGTTAGGTTGATTTTTCATATTAAAATAACTTTAACAGAAGGGAGAATTGGTTTACCATGCTCAACAAGCCATAGAAAAACGAAAAAGCAAACACGTCAAATAACATAGAAAATAGACTGGAACATCCACTGACCTCAGGGTAATCCTTCAATTCGCAGGTCCCATACACGATATGGTTATAAATAAGGCAAAGCATAACTGGGAAAACTCCAATGCCAAGCATATAAAAGTGTATCACGTCCTACAAAATACACAGTTGGATTTCCCAACAATTGCACATTGCATAGAAATTCATAATTAGAATTAGATCGTTCTGAATTAGGGACCGTGTCTTTAAAATAAGTCATCGAACCGGAGAACGTTACTATTGCACGATTACGCGCCCAAAAACCCACAAGAGTACAACCTGTCAAAAAGCCAAGAAATTTCTTTTGCTGAAACTAAGTATTATATTAGAGTAATTCAGTGTTTCGACTACAAACATAGTATTCATTTTTTAACGATGGCCTATTGCGCTACAGTGTGGTGTCAAAATGCCTCCAACTGGAGCCAAATGAGGTCAGCGCTCGAAACGAATGCCATATTTAATCAGGATGCAAAATAACCCTGGTTGGTGTTTACCGAATTGGGTTGGAAGAGGTGTCGCGTCAAGTTCGCAGCAGCTCGTGCCAAAATTAAAAATAAATGCATAATCGTAATGAGGACACTGAATTACCCCTAGAGGCAAATTTTAGCGGGAAAATCCGTTAACCCTCCCTCGAGTTCCAGTATGCAATTGCGCCAAACGTTTCACATCCGCTCACTGATAAAAACTCCGCTACATTGCTTTTCCTCTGTGATAAACGTGTGGCAACCTTGAACGACCTTTTCTAGTCTGCTCCAAACATTACAAACAAGTGCGTCATAACTGACCGACTGCACAACGTGCAAATCTTAACATTTCTAAACGGGAGACTACTTTCATTCAAGAAATGAACAGATGCAATTGCCTTTGGTGAACATAGAGTTGCCTCGTATAATTGCACAGATTAATCATAAAAGAACAGTTTGAGGAGCACTCACCCTTTATTCTATTGCTGATCAACTGAGCGGGTCTTTTCCTAAACAAGGATGCGTGGGACTCCCTTATGGCAGGCATCATGAATGAAACGGGCTTCAGAAGCCCACGCGATGCCACTGGTAATCATTTTACTCAGTGACGTCATCCTAGTGTCGTTGGAATATCACCTAAAATAGACAAAGCATGAATGGAATATGATGTAAAGCCGATCGAACGAAAATAAACTAATGGCGAGCTCGTTATCCCCGCGCTTTTCAAAACGGCAAATCAAAATAGATTATACACGAACGCGGAGGTTGAAAAGCAGAAAAAAAAAAGTAACAAAATATCTATACGGCAATACGAAGCATCTATCATGCCCAAATTTCCAATTTCTTTACATACACCGTCGCTTGAAAAAACAGGCATGCCAATGTCCAATAAGTCTTTGAAAAGACCGTCTAACCCCCATCCCATTCCTCTTCCTCACTAGACGTGAAAGTCACCTACGCCAACTACTAGATTCCGTCCCCACGCAAACCTCACGAGGCGGGGCGGCGTGAGAAGCCTTACCAAGACCGCACACCATTCCGGAGCCACTCCGCGAATTACTCATTCCCAAGTATTCTCACAAACCCCACCTCCGCAACTTCTCTATCACACACTCCCAACCCCACCAGTAGACTACAGCACCTTTCGCCAAAGAAATTCTGACAGAATTTCTCGAACCCACACGGCGTTTCCCCATGTAAGAATACCCTCCCCAGAGATTACACAAGCCAATCCGAAATAATCTAATTCAACTATATCCAAAGCGCCGGTTCAACTGCAACAAGAGTCAGCCTTCACAGTAAAAAGTGGTATACTACTATCCCACAATCCTCGTCCGAACCCTTCACAAGCTGCCCGTACTTCTACCTCATCGAATCCACTTGACTAACATTTAAAACAAAGAACGACGCATCAACATGCCTACATCCAAGCCACAAGACAGAAACTGTCAAGCGGAACGGTTGAATTGTATCCCAATAAAAAATGCGCCAACGCACGAACGTTGCGCAACTAAGCCCCTTATGACGCCCGACCCGTCGTTCACGGATTTTCCTCGTTCTCCATAACTTTCTCTATCGACTCGTTCAATTCGTCTTTAACTGAGAAGCTTAAGCGTAAGGTCCATCCAGTAAGGGGAGGCGTTGACTTTGCAGCGCAAGTCTGGTCTGAGACCCACACAATCTAACTCATGTCTCTGATTACAAACTGCTGCCAACGAGCAGCTTTATTTTGGCGCATTTCTTCCAGGTGCACTTTTTGTTGTTTTTTTTTTTGTTTTTTTTTTTTTTTTTTTTTTTCTTTTTTTTTTACTACTTGCGTGCCATTCTTCTGGACGCTGGATGACTATGACGCTACAAAGTAATATTCAGCTAATGACCAATCTAAGGCCGATGCCCCCATTTTTTCCAGAATTCCTCCTCCTCCTGGGCTTTGGTCGATGTCAGACTTTGCGAATCGCGCGACTCGCTAGCTCTGCGGTCGTCGCGTCCGCGGCCAGTGACATCACTCAAATTGGCGACCTGGAACGCGGCACCGCGGAAGCTAGCGAACACTCGATCGGCAAGTCTGACATCGCCTTAAGCCAGAGAAAAGTTCTGGCAAAAAGTGATTCACTCACGCATCGAGCTGTTGCTTCCCCAATCCTCCTCCACACCCCACATTCCAAGCTTATCGTAGCCGTCAGCGGTTAACGTTTACAGGAGCAACTGCTTCTACATGCTGGACGCGTTTGAGCGTCCCCAGCTAGCCGTGTTCGCATATTCGACCAGGCTTTGTGACTTTGGGCCGGTTTGGGAGTATTGAGTTCGTAAATCGTTACGGTCCTGGTAAACATCATGTTCGAATGTGGATGGGGTCTAGCTTTTTGGAACTGAAGGGAGTGGGGAGCGGAGCGGGTGGGCTGTTTTAGTGTTCTTCGACACGGTGAAAACATAATGGTTCCGACGAAGGTGAAAACTTCTGAAAGATGCTGAAATGGATAAAATTGGAGGATTTGCTGCTTCAGCAAAGATGTTTATCTCACAGTCATAGATCAGGGTCGCCTGGCGGGAGGGTAGGGAGGTCGCTAATCGCCGACATTCTAACCCAAAGACTGAGGTGTGTGTGTGTGACGGGATGGCGCGGGAGGGGGGGAGAGTCCCATAGAAACCTACCCAATTTTTGAAAGTGGACGCGACGAGTTGACCTTGCTCTCGGACGCGCCCGCGATCCGTCGCTGATTTTAGCGTTTTCGCGATTTGCGCGATTCACGAGATTTGCGCGGCGGGTCACGATAACCACATGTGCCCATCAATACTGCAAGGTGTTTTCCCCAATATCCTGCCCTCCTTATGCTGATAGTCGATGGCTGTCTACGAAGGCTCATGATCCACTTGTTCATATTCAGTTTTCGAATGTTCAATATGGCACTTTGCGAATTGCAGGTTCGCGCACATCGCGAAAAATCAGCCAGAACCTGCAGACGGATCCGACTCCTGACACCACCTTAAGCGCCGGACGTCGTCGCCAAGTTTCTCATGAGGGTTCGTATTCAAGGTTTGAGCCGCAGAAGGGTCGATTCTAGGCGTTAGATGATTGTGGTGTAGGAGGAAATTGTTTGGTTAGATAGTTTGGTGAGTTTCAAAAAATGCATTGTGGGTTAAAATTGAAGCACCGTGTCGGTTTCGTTAAGAATTTATTACTCCTCCCCCTTTCCCTCCTCCTCCGGTCGCCGGCGTTTGCAAAGACACCAAGGGGAACCACTGGTCCTTGTTCGCAACTGGTCTTGCAGAGCCAAATACTATAGGATCAGCCATGACGGCGAGGGGAGCGGCGGGTTAGGTGGTGCTATTGGAGCACTCCCCTGTTGGTGATGGTGGTTGAAGTGATCGTATCGGGATCTTCAAAGCAGGGAAGTCGTAGTTTTCCGAATTAGAGCTACGGACGGTCGAACCTGCCCGTAGCGATGTGCTGGGAACTTTTCGCTTTTTTCGTTTGTTGGTTGTCCTACAGATTTTTGCAACTTGTTGCTCACGGAATATTTTGCTCGAACATTTCATAAACTTTGGGTTTTCAGGTGGCTGAAGTTCTGGTGTTGTACTAACTCGAATTTGTCTAGGTATGGACCTCGCTTCTGCACTAATAAAATGTGGAAGCGCAACAACACGGCTTTTAAGCCGAATATATACACCTGTAGCGACCTCAGTTCAATTCGCATCTGGAAGATGGTACCCTCAACCTGCGTAAGTGGATAAGAGTCATTATTTCGAATAATTTGCTTTCCAATTTCATGCAGCAGTTTAAGAATTGCTTATTGCAGTTCGAGAAGACGATCATAGCTGTAAGGATAGGTTTTCATCATGCAAGAAATAAGGTGTTCGAAGACAGTATCAAAAATCTCTCATATGAACAACAACTTGATAAGCGTGTTACTCTAGGATTGATGGCCAGAAAGACTGATGACTTGAGCATTTGATTCCGAGCTTTCAAATCTTGTGTTGGGAGGCTTTTATACATCACGTCGGCGAGGAAAATTTAGACCGACGTCATAGTCGGCGACGGACCAAGCGATGGAGCGATCGCGATCGCTCCATCGCTTGTCCGTCGCTTGCCAATCGCTCTCGGTCGAGCGATTGGCAAGCGATTGCGCAATCGCTTGCAAAGTGCACAAGCGACGGGCAATGGCTCTGCTCGATCGATACCGCAGCCGACTGCATTCGACTGGGGGCGGGGCCAATCGCCCGTCGCTTGTGCACTTTGCAAGCGATTGCGCAATCCGATTGCAACGCGATGGACAAGCGATGGAGCGATCGCGTCGCTTCATCGCTTGTCCGTCGCCGAATGTGACGGCGGTCTGAACATTCCTAGGATCTAGTTTTGAAGTTTGAGAAGAATGATTTCTTCCCCTTCATCTCGTAACATAAGCAACTTCATTTTAAGCTCCTGCTCATCAAGGCAACATTTCTGCTCGAAAGTGACCACGACAAACTCGGATATAGTTGTGTCCACCTCGCAAGGGGACATACGACTAATAAAGGAAAACGCTGCTCCGGTGTACTACAAGCCAAAAGGCGAAGGAAAGACTGGTTTCGAGTTAGTTCCGTGGAAAAATGGCGAACAACTGGCGAATTATGTGCTCTTCGAGGCATCCATGGAGCGAACGAAGGTTCCGTGGAATGATTACAATCGACTGACCAGGGACGAACGAACGATCTATATGGCTCATTTGAAAGCAGTACAGCAACGCAGATTGACTTACAAAGATCCTTTTACGGGCAATGTTGTATTTACTATATCTCATCATTTGCACAGGGGTACTTGTTGCGGCAATGGTTGTAGGCATTGCCCTTATAGGCACGAAAATGCTAGTGATGATGTTAAGAGGTCAAAAGTATGGAATGGAGCATACTATGTATAGCATTATAGTAATTATTTTACTGGATTCTAGAATAAAATCAATAAAGTTTCAATTTCCTTTGTAAGAAAACAGAAGTACTCCGTCACATAATGTCACGTATAAATAGTGCGAACTTACAGTCAGTTCGTAAACGTTTTCTCTTGTTTTTTCGCGAAAAAAAAAATCATTGAAACTGGGTTAGGGACAAAAAGCGAGAGGTGCGGTTTCGATACCCTGTGGCAGAGAATTTTGCCCAAAACTCAGCATTTTGTGAAATATTCGCAACGTGAACTGCGGGGTTAATTTGGTAATTAACAACGGGTAGTTAAACAAAAAAGTCGCATTTTAGCAAAGAAAGTGTAGGGCAGCGCATTCACACAAATTCCTCCTTTCAAATGGGTTGTTTGCTCCTGCACAATTACTGGTGGTGGATATCCCAAAATTGTATAAATATTCAGGTATGAAATGTCCAAACATCGGACACGCCCTCCATGTATGGGTATTCATCGGCGAACGCGACTGAACGTAGTGGACAACTCAGCTCTCGGTAAAGAAGCTCATACCTCTGGAAAACGCGCGTACTGTATTGATGTTTACAAGCAAGGCCGACGCAAGAAGCATCTACCACATGCGACCCTTGGCGACAAGGTGAGGTCATCCAGGATTCTTTCGAGATAGACAATCAGTACTTCTGTTAAGATTCTTGTTGCCATTCGCGGTCAAATGCGAAAGGCCTACGTTGTCGGAGCGAACACTCATGTTCATCTACGCAAGCACGGAGTTCCTGTCACTGATACCAATAATATTGTATTGTTAGATGAGGAGGGTAAGTGTAAAGCTATGAAAAAGTGTCTTATTGAAGGGTCCGTTTCACGATTATCCCAAGTTCAACATTGCGTATTAGAGTGGTCCGTAACCAAGCAGCTTGTTTCAATTTCATGGCTCCAAGGTGCGTGGCAGGGAGATAGATATGTCGCTCGCATGCCCGCAACGCACACAATCGTCGCTATACCAACGTATCCATCTTCTTCATCGTCCCCTCGCATTCGCTCGTACGAAAACACTCCTCTGCTCTTAATGATTCCATGAGTTAGCGTGAAGGGTTTATTCAAAGGGTTCTTCAATAGTTTATTTATTTGACTCTTTCTTTTTCGTTAGGTCACATGGCGCTTTGAGCATATTTGATACTGGTAGCCATATTTTGCGCTATCGCAGAATCCGCTTTGAAATTTTAGTCCTATGTTTTGCCCGACAGTAATGCAAGGCTAAGGAGCAGCCGTTCGTCTGTGCACATTTCGTAAAAGCAATAGCAGCTCTGAACATACGGAAGTTCGCGTTTCTTGGACATTCCGATGATGGTACATTCCACGGTTACGCTAAATGAATCAAGCTTCTTTTGAGTAGGACAGCTATCCTGTGCTTAAAGGTAAGAAATATGTTCCCCCCCCCCCACCATGCGGTATGTAGCACAAGTCATTTGGGTAAAAATGGCTGCAGCTGTGATCCGAAACGCCAAGGTTACATATTGGAGTGTCTACGTCTCACCTGGCGTTGGCATAAGGTCGGGACTATCTGGACATTAATACTGAAGTCCAGATAGTCGCGCAGTCACCAACCCATCGTCTTCTCCCACCTCCCTGTCTTACACAAGAGGAAGGAAGGGCTAAGACAACGTCACGTGTTCCTTGGAAGTGACTGAGCACATGGAGTTCTTATTAATGTGCTTGTAAAGGGTTCTTAACGATGGTTCGATGCTACAAGCCCACCAACGACGACCTTTCAGCAGTACTCTTGCGACTGGCGGTTGAGCTAGCATTAAGACAAATGGCCAAACGTCAGCGATAATCGCACAACACTATGAAATACCTTTTGGACTTTTTTGAGAATCCCGTAAGCCCACAATGAATGTCGAAATCTTGTAGAGGCGGGGTTGGGAGGGGTATTCGTGTCCGGCTTTTGTATTTGTTTGTTTTGTTTTTTTTTCTGTCATTACTGTAATATATTTAATCTTATGCTTATTTCAGGAAATCCACTAGGAAATCGAATAACTGCACCGATACCGGTCAAGCTTTTAGAAAACAAGAATAAAGCACAGTTTGCTAAGGTTCTAGCGTTAGCCAACAAATTTATCTGATGAAATCAATTGCTGTATTTTTTATTAGTTCCTGATAAAATTTTCTGACTATGAAGAATTGCCTTATTAACAAAATTAACAACATTATTCGTCAACTGTAAACAAGCCAATATGCAAACAAATCAGTGATAACAGTATAACAGTGAAAAGCCATGGAAAAACCAATGAACAAGATTTGCACACAGGAGATCGCTCTACCTACAATTTTACAAGCCAGCACACGCCAATCAATATTCGACTATCTAGCCTAGCTAATATCCCTTATTTAACAAGGTTTTGCGTAATACTAAATTTCCAATACGAACACATTTAACAGAATATTCTAAAACATACGTACATCATCGTTTTGCTGACCCACGAGAGAGCCGAGCGCTGATTCTTGGTCGAGGACGTGTTAATTCTGGAGTTTCCTTACGTTCTGGAGATCTTAAGCAGAGTCTCTGAAAAAGTACCACTGAGAAGTCATAAAGGATTTCTAAAAACGCAGAAGTCAATTTTAACTCCTCAGTTAACTAAGTTTGAAAAAAAAAGTTTCAAGGAGGAGCTTCTCGCTCTACCTTTGCAGGGGGTGAATCACCCAAATCACTCGTTAGAGTAGCCGGCGATTTCAGTTCCACAGATGAGTTGGAAACGACGACTGGCTTCTGCAGAAATCCTTTTTTTCTTCTTCCATAACTACTTGTAGAAGATATTTGGAAGTAAGCATTTTTCATAATAGGAGTACTACGATATCTTGCGGATACGTAGTCGCCCTATGTAGCTTCAGAAAAACTGAGAAGTTCAACTTCTCCAATCATTTGGCACAAGTCTGCAATATAGCGCGTAATGCCTCTGATGGAGCAGATGAACTTCCCGTACATCGATCATGCATTCACTTTGGCTCAGTAGCACTAATCTTAAGGTTCAAGGGCAGGTGGCACGACAAATTGAATGTTGATGAGGGAATGCGTTTGCCATGAATGACCGCTTGGTCCCCAAGGAACGCGGTACACCACTGCAAAGAGCCCGCAGCAACGTAATCAGACTGTAATCATCTCTCTATCACTGCCCCCCCCCCCCCCCCACTCCCACCCACCCCACCAATAAGCTATCCCAGCGTGGTGGACCTTCGCCGTCGAGAAGGGCAGAACAAAGCATTAATGTTGAGAGGTCCGCCATTGTTGAGATTTGTCCAAGTGGGAATCAATGGCTAGCAACATGGTCCCATTAGAGGTTTTAGGCCCGTTCTTTCTGATTTTTCATCACTGCTGGCACCCAATGGAGACCAATTTGTCGTAACACCTGCCTTTGAAGCAAGTACACGTCACCTCTTTCAGACGAAAACTCCCGTATACCAATAATACTCATTACTGAGCCAGATTAGCACGGATAAATAGAAAAACCTTCACCTCTTCCGTAGCCCCAACACTTCCGCCGTTAATTTGACTAGTTTTACCAGCACGTTTAATACTTGCTTCTGCTTTCGGCAACACAGGTTTAATTAGAGGACGTCGGCCACGTCTCAGTAGCACCGGAGGCTTTTCACCGGTTTTCAGACAACTCACTAGCGACAACTCGCCTCCGTGCAATTTTCCTATATTTACACTAGCCATTACATTGCTTGAACACTAACTGTCAACGTTCACTAGCAAAATTCACTATATTAATTACTAACCTTTTGAGGTATACCGGTACTCTCTTCAGCAGCTGTTATATCCTCCATAGTTTCCTGACTTTTTGGCTCTTCCACACTTGATTTAGGCTCTTTAGCTATCGCGGTGAGCTGTTTCAGAACTTGATCTTTCGAAGTTTTCTGAACAGAATACATGGAGTTTTACGTGATGATTCTAACTTTGCAAGTACTGGCACGTTTCTTGCTTGTTAGTAAGTTTACGAAGGACATTAACAGAAAATAGCAAAATAAGAAGGATCGGTTTTACCTCTTCAACACTTCGATCTTTCACGACCACCACACGAGGCTTGACAGCTCGACGACTCCGTGTTAATAGGCTAGCTTCCGGCTTCGCAGACTCAGAGTCGTTCAGAGGTGCCGGTTTTGTCCTGAATGTTACCAAGTCTATTAGGTTGGAAGGAAAGTTCCTTAACACTTGTAGCTCAATTTTTGAATTTATTTTTTTTATTCTTTATTTATTCAATGATCCATAACATATTGACCATTAGATACAACAACACTACGCCAACCTTCGGGCATTTGGGTGACACCGCAGAAATTAGAAATTAGGAAGATTTTTGCCAAACAACCTTCTGGTGTCGGATTTGCGCTCGTTTACGTCGTCGAGCTTCCTGTTCTCCAGGTAATGAGCAAGCGAGCAGGAAAGGTTGAAGAGGTGTATAGATAGGTTTGACGAATATGGCAGACGGGCAGCCGCGGTCCTGCCTGGCTTCAGAGTCTTGTGGCTTGAGACCGAACACCCGCGACGTTGCGCGTTGTCGTGAAGCAGGTTGACTTGTCGCTATATTCGGCGAAGCTCTTCTGCAATCTTTTCGAGCAGCTAGCATTGTGAAGCCCTTGTACTCGTCAATCCTCCAGACAGATCATCACCCGTGGGAAATACCGTCAAACGTCAAAATGGGCAGTAGTCGTGTGTTGCGTCAGAAAGATCAAAGTCTTCGCTGCGGAGCGTTTAAACCAAGCCGAAACCGCCATGTGAGAGAACGTGCCCAGGCCTATCCCGGGACTGATCCTGACCACCTCTGGTGGGCAGATCTCTCTAGGCGGAGCTCTTACAGAATGAGCGCTCGGAGTGTCTGGCGGGAAAAGTTGATTTAGTGCCATGCAAACGCCATTATTGGGAAAGCTGATTTGATCACCGTACGTAGCACGGTCCACTCCTACTATATACCACCCATGGAAGATTCCAGAGCATTCGGGAGAAATCCAGAAAGAGCGCGAATTGAGTGTTAAGGAACTTTCCTTCCAACCTAATAAGTAGAAAATATAAGTTGGTTGACTATACAAAGTTTCGGATGGTACCAAAAACTTTGAAAGATCAAAGCGCCTCGATGGCATCAAATAATCATCTCATGAAGAGTGATGCTCATTCTCTGACGATCAAAATTCTTATTAGTCTTCAATGACTGTCCAAAAGTCACTGTATTCCAATTTTAGGGAACCCACTACAATCCAAAATAGTAGAAGTAAGTAATCACCCGAAAGCCAAAAACATTCATATCACCTGGAATAGTTCTACATTGTCAGAAACGGAATCCTCTTGTGATGTCGTTTCCAGAGAATCTGTAGCTTGTTCAGTACTTTCTTCGTCATAACATGGAGCCGCCTGTTAGAAAAAAAAACTGACAGATGCTCAATATACCATCGATATCGCAAAAGACTACGAAATTCAGCGCTATAAAGAAAAACGGAATAGAAATGAAACATGTTTTGTTCTGTTAATTGGTCGCCACACTTCATGATGGCAATCTCATCGCAACGATGCAAAAAGTTGTCGCTGTATTGTAGTTACAGTTGTAAGCAAAACAATTGCATTTCCCAAGGCCACTGAGAA